GTGGGTATCCTGTGGGACATGCTCCAAATATTAAAATGCTAAATCTAAGCATGTTCCACCACACGAATTTTGGGAAACTTTGAGTATATTAGTAAGTTGACCACTGTCTATCATTTGGCGGTGACAGAAATTCTGTTGCAATTAGTTTGACTAAAAAAACATCTTTTCACAAAGTGGGTACACTGTGTTACAGGCTCGAAATATAAAAACGCTTAATCTAAGCATGTTCCACCACACAAATTTTGGGGAACTTTTAGTATGTTAGTAAGTTGACCACTATCTATCATTTGGCAGTGACAGAAATTCTGTTGCAATTATTTTGACTTTGACCATAAAAATTTCATTAGATGACTGGACTAATATCACACCAGTCTTGTATCAGTTTCACTGGCTACAAGTCAAGTACGGCATTCAGTTCAAAATTCTGCTCATTACTTTTAAAGCTATTCATGGCGTGGCACCTGATTACATCCGCAAATTGATTACTCGAAAAACATCAACTAGATATTCACTTAGATCCAGCCAAAAAATTATGCTTGAGGTTCCAAGCGGAAAGATACTCGCAACACTTGAAAGAAGAGCTGTTATGCAACCCCAAAGCTCTGGAACAATCTACCGAGTAGTATATCCCGTCTTGACTCTCTTTCAAGTTTTACGTGCTATCTTAAAAACACATCTTTTTAAACAGGCTTTTAATTTGTTATAATTTGCTATTGTTCATCTTGTGATTTTATCAGTCTTAATTACTTGACATGTATATTTTATTTATTTTTAATCATTTTATATCATTGAAGGGGTGAGTGCAAAACCATGCTAAGTGACGATTTGGGTGAAAAAAAAATTTTTGCGAAAGGGCTTGAATTTTTGCATGTGGTCTTCAATGTAATAGAAAAACGTGGCCCTGTATTTTTGTTGCTGGTTTTTGCTTCATTTTTGAGTTATAACGTATGCAAAAATACTTGGCTTTTCCTAGCCATGTCTTTTGGAGTTTATTTGTTGAATACCAAACAGGCAGACTGTTTATAGTGTATGAGGTCAAAATCAAATCTCACAGCATATATAGAGCGGAAATCTGGGAAAAGATTGTTTACATCGGTTATTGTGACGTGAACACAACATGTGAATCGATCGAGCGTCAAACGAAATACATCGAACAAAAAAGAGATGTGCCGCGTTAGAGCTCTGTCAACTAATATCTTAAGCATTGTTTTAAAGTACCTTGCATGCCTGCCCGGTGGTTGAGAGGCATCATAAAGTCTCGATAAACCCATAAGTCATCAGCATGTTTTAAAGAATCAAAATGTGTTCTGAAACTTCGAAGGCAGCTGATATACTGTAATCTTGTTATTGGCGTTCAAAGTCAGATTGAGCCAGGCAGCAAAGTCCAAGAGCAGTTCTTGCCCAAGAAAAATTTTGTTGTTGTTGTTGTTGTTGTTATCGTTATTGTTATTGTTATGTATGTCAAAGGTGCCAGGGACTTGGGTGACTGGGGAGGGTCCACCAATTTAAATTGGTGGACCCTCCTAAGTCAGGGAATGCAAGAATGGAAATCATTAGATCAAGATCAACTAGTCTACAAATGGTACCTCCTATGCAGAGATTGTGTGCCATGAAGAGGTTGAATCTTCAGAGGAACAAGAATTGTCATCCCGCAGAAGTTGAAAACCAGAGTGGTATACCTTGCTCTCGACGGCCACTTGGGTATCATTGGAACTAAGCAGAAGCCACATAGCAAAGTATGGTAACCTGGAATGGAGATAGATGCTGAAAAATATTTTAAAACCTGCTATGGATGTCAGTTGGTCACTTCCCTCAGTCTCCCAGAGCCCATCAGGACCACAGAGTTCACACCCAGACGGTTAAGAGGTTGGGCTGTTGACCTGCTTGAACTACTCCCCGTTGTCTAGTTGTCCTTGACTACCACAACAGCTGAGGTAGGCATCCTAAGGTCTACAGTTGCTTCTAAGGTTATCTCAAGCATGGAAGAGATATTTGCACCACATAGCTTGCCAGAGAGCCTGACATCTGACAAAGAATGGACCATAGTTCATGATCATATCAAGAGAGTTTGCAGAATACATGGCACAGCAGGGTATCATACACCACAAGGTCACTGCAAAATAGTGTCAGGCCAAAGATTCCAGATTGCAAGTATGAAAAGAGAAACTGGAGAAGAGGTCTGAACATTAATCTTGCAGCAAAGTTTATTCAGGTATTGCAATTGACTTTAGGAGAAGGCTACCTAATTTGTGGAGGTTCCTCTGACTTCTTGGGTGTCCTGTGTAACCAAGGCAAAAGCTATGTGAATTTTTTTAATGGATCATCTATCATTTTGGGGCCATCTTGCATGACATAATGCTCATGTGCTATTTTGCACCTTCTGAGTGATGTATGTTTCCAGTTGTGCGAGACATTCCTCATGTACTGTATTTTGGTTATATTTTACTGTGTACAGTTGCTTCATCGTGAGGGTTGTTTCGTCGTTCCGCAGGTGAGTGTTGCTTGGTTTCCATTTATTTGTCAACTTGTCACAGATTTCAATGTGCAAATTACCAAAGCCTGGAGGAAATGTGTGCTGTTTCTGGCTCCCGTAGAATGCACTGAGGGCAGTCTATTTTTTCAGGATCTGCCACTGTGCTGAATAGTTGGCGGCAATATTTTAGCAAACCCCTTGACAGAAAAACAATTTGCCCCAAGTAAGCCATTGAGCTAAAAAGTCTGACCTTTTGTGATAGCTGCATATGCCGAGTGCCGTAATCCAGTACTGTAATTAAATATCCCCTTGGATCAGTTTCCACATGACAAGTTTGACAACTATGTCTTGATGTTACATGAAATGTATAGTATGATGATGTCTTATGCAATCACGCTTAAAGAGCTTACCAAAGCAGTTGTGCATGAAGTCTTGTTGGAGTATCCAATAGTTTATGACTGGTATAACAGATAAGTTTTGGAAGTTTTCTTCTCTTCCCATTCAAATGGTGAAAGACATTTGACACAAGCTGTGTGAAGGGTGAGACAAAGCGATATAAGTGGATCTTTTGGTTGCTTTATCCAAGAACTGTTCCTGTCAGAAGTAAGATATGCTGAGCTTGTATGAAAGATCTAAAGCTGACACCTTCCTGGACAGTTCTCAATTTTATTTACCACCACATGGGTTTCCTTCCCTATGAAGTACAGTTAGGAATTCAACGTCTTCCATAAGGGAAGGCATGTTTCTTATTGGGGGTTGGCCTGGGGTATTTTGGAAACTTTTTGGCAAAAACATTCATGGCCCTCCCATTTCCTGGAATGGATTAATGCATGACCCTTCACAAACACCCACACAAAAACATCTGACCCTCCCCCCATCTATTCAACAGTTTACAGTTTCAAATATACATCTAAATGTAACTGGAAGTGAAAATAACTAACCAGAAGTGTTGCTCATATAACCATGTTCTGGTCACTCCATCTGTGCACAAAGCATGTATATATCAACGTGCGTGGCATGTAATTGTATGGTGAAAACCTGAAGATGGGCAAGGATATTCGAGGGATAGAAGGAGGGAAATGTGCTTGTGGTGAATGCGATAGTTTCATGAGGTCAGATAGAGCAACTTGTGGCTATTGTGAATGTTTGCCAAAAAGCTTGGGACAGAGTTTGTTGTGCCTGGATGTTGAGCACCTTGCCTAGATAAAAATGAGCAAAGAAAAGAAAGAGGAGACTGAAGGGAATGGAATGGCTGAACCGTAAGTACAATGACACTGAGTGGGTTGGATTGTACAACTCTGGCAAGCTGTCATCCTTGAGGGTCAACAAGCTTTCATTGTACTTTTCCTATCACAAGATCACCTTTAAGGGAAAGAAAGCTGAAAAGGTCACAATGATCAAAGCCCACTTTGGGAGCTTGCTGCACAGTTTTATGGAGCGTCAACAATCTTGACAGCCCCCTATTAAGAAATGTGCAACAACAGATTACCTTATCACTTTCCAAGGTTGAAAGTGACTCGCAAAGTGATGTGATAGATTGAGTTGTCGGTTCAAGCTCCAGTAGCTTAAGTGATGAATCATCAGTGGAGACTGATTTTATACCAGAACCCTGTGGGGAAACATTACCGCCTTCAAAATATGGACGAAAGTGGGCACAGATTCAGAGAAACAATTGCGTTAGTTGGGAGAAGATAGTTTTTAATACAATTTTGCGACAACTGTAAATAATTTGCATTGATCTTGGCTGGGAGCTTTGCTTGTACATGCAAGTTTTAGTTTTCCAAATACTGTACATGTTCGTTAACAAACAAAAGAGTTGACAGAAGCAACAAAGAGTACTTTTTTCTCGCTGAAAAGAGTGTGACCCTCCTTCTGCTGCAAACAAAACAGGTTTAGCCCTCCCCAATTTGTGAAAATTTTTACTGATGACCCTCCCCTCCAAAGCCTTTTCTTAAGAGGCCAATAAAACAAGCATGTAGTAAATTCCACATAATGAGATGAAAAGCAGCCTTGAGATACAGCTTTAGAGGTCTATCTCGGCAATTGTTGTAACAATTACTATGATCCTTTCGGTTGCTGAACATTTTCTCAAATTGAATCATATCTTTATTCTCACTATTTTGATTATAGAGGAATCATATGGATACCAATGCAGTGAGAAGCATGTCCCACTTGTCAAGAAATATTGAACCTTCTTTTGGTCGGCAACAAACTTTTCTTCCTGTGCGCTTCCCTTTCTATCTATATCATTAGGAAACATTGTTGTTCTGAATTTTCATTGCAAAGTTTTACGAAGCCAAGCAAAATGTTGTGATATTTCATATCAGTAGAAAAAAGGATTTTCTCAGTTGTCAGAGAACTTTCTTCACATTTTTGTTTGAAACAAAATTCCATTTTTATGTTGAAAATCCCAGAAATTAAAGAATTTTGCCGAATTTTGTTTGCATTACTGTTGCACAGTAGTGTATAACTAAATCAGCAAGTTCAATCTTGTAATTCTTTTTGAATTGGTGTTGTTTTACTGTAGGTTGTGCCACCCTGGCCCCTGTCCAAATTGCCCTGTTATGATAACAAAGGCATGTTCCTGTGGAAAAACAAAGTATCCTTCTGTAATATTTTTACACTGTTAGATAGTTCATGGTAGTGATGAGTTACATATATCACTTGTAATTAAATTTTGTAGTTACATAAATATTGTAATCTCAATGAAGGGTTTAATCCTGGGGGGCAGGGGAGTACTCACAGTATATATGATGAGGGGGGGCGACATATTTTTTGGGGTTGAAAATAATTATTTACACCCTCTCTTTTTTGGGGTCAAGATCTGTCACATATTTTCTTAGGTCTTAAAAAATATGTGTAATTTTTGGGTTAACACATCTCTGAACGAAATTTTTGGTGCAATCAGTGGATCAGAAAATTATTCATTGGAGCACAAGGGAGGACAAAGAGACATTAATTGACATATCAATTTCATTAGCTTATTGATGCAAAATCAAACATTAGAATAATCTGTTTGATTGAATAAATCAGAATTGAGTTATTAAAGTCTGAGGGTTTTTAATTTTTTCTTTCTCAGTTGTTAATTCCCTTAACACTAGAATCAGGAAGCGAGTGAGGTGTGGCCAGACCACCACAGTACTGTGTGAACAAGTGTGTAACAAGATTCTCAACTGTCTCACGCACAGATGTACAAGAATTTGTCATACAGGTATTGTGTTTACATGTATATTAAGAAAATTATCCACTGCAAACAATGACTCAGTTTGTGCTCAACAAATATTCTAGCAGTTCTGCAATTCTTGTCCAAACACAACCATGACAGAGTTAAACTTTATTGGTTGCGTGTACTGTAATCAGTAGGGAAGACGTTGATCTGCACATGTGGTTTACCTCTTTTGTTTCCATTCCCCCTCCTATCGAGGGGATTTAGATTGTAGACCCTTAGACACTTGGGTTTGCATAATGGTCACCACATGGTCCATTGGCATGCTGATGGCTTTTTCTGTCCCCTCTTTCAAGTTCCTTCCTTGGCGCTAACGATGCTTGCAATTGGCTTGGAAACATGGCCGACACGCTAAGACATTTGCTCATTCCTTTAGCACATTTATTGGTATATATAAAATTTAATGCTTGGCCTTTCTCAATCAGTTTATGCAGGTAGTGGGCAATGTCAGAAAATAGAGGTGCAAATCTCGGATAGTACGTGCATGACCCGACAAACTTTATCTTTCTGTGACATTTTGTGGCGTAGGCCAATTCTTGACAAAAGTAACTTTTTCAGGGTTTATGGCAATCTCAACCTCATTCAGAACATGGCTAAGGAACCTGACTTTGAACTGAAAGTGTTCACACTTCTTCAAGCTCAACTTAAGATTGCGCACCCTAAGCCATGAGAAAACGAGTGTCATAGCATTCTAACTCCAGTTCAAAGGTTTTTTTATTCCCTACCAGAGCCAAACATCCTCTCCCACCAGCAGCCATAATGAATTTTGTCTAACAACCTGGGATAATTTATTCAAGCCATTGCAAACAACGTTAACTGGGCTCTCGGTAATGTCCTTTGTTTGAGGAGGAATGTCTATGTCCTTGGTGGCTGGGTGACACAAGGATGTTTAGATGCATCCTTAATGGTAGGGAAAGGGTTAAAGCTTCTATCTATTTCTATGAGCAAAAATGCACTATCTTTAAATTTCATTTCACAGTTTTAACCTCCTTTAAACCCTTATTCTTTTTAAAATTAATATAGTTCTTGGTCATGATCACTGTATCCAAAAACCAAAAAGTTGTGTTGATCCATAAAAAATCATCTGCAACAAGAAGAGCAAAGTGTTGGAAGTTTTTGCTTGTAGAAATGGAATTTGTTGTTCACCAAGTGAAGTAAAATTACTATAAAATAACACTCTACAGCTGAATCAAAGTTGTTACACAGCTTGGGATGTATTGATACTTTTTTGCTCATATTTTGTAAATTTCTATTTTCTTACTGCATAAAGCTGCTGCTTTAATGTTACATTTGTATTAAGGTTACAGTATACCTTCGGGTTGGCAATTTTCTTCAAATTTGGATTTTTGGGTCAAAATAGTGGTCGAAGAATAATCTCTAATTTCTGAA